CGGTTGAACCACTGATGTCACATGGACTGTTTTACTGATGTCCTTACTGCGTTTCTGTGCCTTGACTGTGGTAGATCCCTTGCAGGGTCAGAAAGCTCTCAGATTTCTTAAAAAATATATTTGATTTGTGTTCCGAAGATGAACGAAGGTCTTACGGGTTTTGAACGACATGAGGGTGATTAATTAATGACAGAATTTTTTGGGTGAACTATCCCTTTAAGTAAATAATATTTTGTTTTTTCATTGCAAGACTAGTAGTAGCAGTAGTGTTGCTGCATGACCCATATTCAGATTTTGTTGTCCACCAAACACCCAGACATTCCTCTTAAATCTACTTGTCTGATACAAACCACTTAATAATTATCTGCTCATCCTCAAGCCATGATACTCCCATCATGTGACTGATGACATGAGATTCTTTTGCTTGGGTCTAATTTCTCCATAATATGATATAGTCTTCCACCAGTAGTTTATAACAGCCCTGCAGTCTCTAGCAAATGCTTAATTTAGACTGCAGAAAATACTTCTGTATCTAGGTTATTTGAGCTCATACAGTAGTGAGAAGACCAGTGTAAAGGCAAACCTTCACTTTCTCTTTCTATAGATTAACTGTATCTCTTACGTAGCATACTTTCACTTTTCCTTTTCATAAGTAGGAGAACCTATGACGAAATATGCAGTTCTCCTGACCAACCCTGTGAACACTATTACTATTAAAAGCCATTATTTTAGTAATCTGTTATATGCTATTTTTGTTAGTATATGCTATTTATTTACATGGTGTGAGGCAGTTATTCAGTTGCAATACAACAAAGTTGCAATTCACTTACAACACTATATATAAAAAGAAACAAAGCTGGGATTTATCGACAATTCACTGAATTGTGGCAATGGAAATCATGCCAGTAACCGTTGCTGACAATAGCACATTCACATCAAGTCCTGTCAGACAAGTATGAAGGCTTCAGAACCTCCTCTTGGCTGATCTTGCTGCAGTCACATGTGAAATATTATCTTGTGCATGCAAGTAAACACATCAGGCTGTTATGCTGAAACGACCACCAAATAATGCAATGGCTATCTTTCTTTACCTTTCGAGGAGTCTCCAAGAGTAGTGCATTTTGCTTGTCCAACCAACAAGCCTGTTTTGCCAATTTTCCTTGCCTGTGGGAAAACAAATGTTGCAGTAATAGGTTTGAAGTTTCAGAAAGATTTTGAAATTAGGTCGATTCAATAAACTCCATTAGTGTTGTATTTCTGTACCCTGTTTGCATCATCAAGCAACAGGAAGCCAAATGACTCTTCAAGTTCCTGTTCAGAATATCCTTTTTCACATTTCTCGGAACGAAAGGCAGCATACTGTTGGAAGAATACATTTATTATAACATGATGCAAATCTCACTAAATCACTCAAAACTAAGTGCAGAATGGGGAACATTCAGATAAAACTTACCCGCTTTTGTAAAGCGCCATTGTTGATCAAATGGGCAGAGTTGTATGTGAAACATTCTTTTGATTCCTCGTACAAATAGTTGTTATGAAGTGGGGCTAGAATACTCTCATTAAAGGTTACTGAGCCTGGATGCACAGGCTCCAGAAGACCTGGTAAAACAGGACACATGTTTGAGTTATACTAACTGCTTCACAATCTTCCAAAACATTCCTTCTTTCCAATAACAAACAAAATGGACAGTTTTCTAGGTCACATTCTGTCGCTCTGGAAATGTAACCAGAGAGCATGTTGTAAAAGTCATCTCAAGCACATTTGAGATAAATGCTCGGTAAAAGCAATAAGTCTGTTAGAGAGCCATTTTGTGAACAACTTCGTCTGTAAAAACCAACAGTTTCATGAACTGGCCAAACAACTTTAAAACAAACAAAACAGTATTCGGCATTAAAGAAAGAACTATTGTGCAATTTTTATGCTGAAAACCCCCCACGTTGTTCATTAAGTACAGGACAACTGCGCAAGACTCCTGTTTCCACACTAATCTTCCTAATGTAGAATACAACAACTAGAATGTCACATATTAAATAACTCTGTTCATTATTAACTGATGCAACTATACAGAAATATGAAATGCAGCCTATTCTCTTCAGCACATGGTGGATTTCCAACTTCTAACTTTTCTAGATAGAAAATCTATTAGCTGGTCATACCAGTTAAATGTGGTCAAGCTGGTTTTTGAAACATCTGTCAACCATGCTAGAACCAGCTAATGTTCATCTTAGACCAGCTAAAAAACAGTTACCACATTTATAATATAATAATAATAATAAACAAAATTGATATTGCAATATGTCAATTGTGACTCAATCTTAAAATCTCAACATTTATACCCTTATGAAAAGTAACCATGGTTTTATTATACTAAAAGTGTAGTACCCGGTGTTTTTTTTTTTTTTGCATATTGATCATTATTTGTATAATCAGTTTTACTACAAATACCATGGTTAAATTATGGTTAGTGTAGCAAATCCATGGTTAAGTTGTGGTTACCATGGTTTAACTATAGTAACCATGTTTTTTTAGTTTTATTTGTAGTAAAACCATTCATATGGGTATACATAATAGGTTATATAACATGGAATGAGGTTCATATAACATAACGGTAAATACATCAACATCACTGACCATACTGGTCATAATTTACATTTAGAAATCTCAAAAAATTGAGAATAAAGACCAAAATAAGAAGACTTTCATATTAGAGATCATGCAGAAAATCTAGAAAACACTAATTAAACCACGTACAAGAGAGGACACTGTGCAGTGGTGAACTGAAAAACGTGATTGTAATCAACCCTTATTCAAATGAATCCAAAAGCTTGGAGCAAAGGTAAAACTATCACGTGTAGTTTTACCAAGCCCACGCTGACTCCACTGCAGAATTGGTTTAGAGTTAAGAGCAACCAACCAAATCAGTAAGTTATTCGTGTCTTCTTTCAACCAAAATAGGGATAGTCGTTTAAAATTGTTCACAAAGCTGCAATACTGTGACTATATTGAAATACCTATGACTGAAACTCACAAATTATTAACCAGCTTCGTTAGCTGTACACACCAACAAAATTACCACAAAAAATGTGTGTGGGTTGAATTTCTGAATACACAGAAATGTATAAATACACGCATAGATATTTCAGCACAAAACGGATTATACAAACGCTATTGACGTCAAAACAGAAACTAAACGTGTCAATGAGGCCACTAAACCCAGTCACCTTCTGTTGATCGAGTAGTCACATTCTCCATGAAGACGAGGCATAGATCCCAGGTTTTCGCTTTGCACTCGATATATTAGATATTTCTAATCCTCGACGGCTCACGACATTCCACTTAAACGAATAAAAAGATACTGCCTTTTCCGTAAAACAGTCATGAAATGTTTATTTAAAGCTGTAAGGACAAATATTATGCTCGACGACTGGTCTCTGAAGCTAAACTGCGTTTTGAAGGACTAGAATTGTGATGTGTGACTGTGTGTTGCAACCAGGAAGCGAATCCACATAAAGACAGCAAACGTTGGGCTGTGGAAACGAACGGCTGCCAGCGAATCGGTCTGAAGGACTGTTTTTAACGGAGTTCGAATTCTGACTGGGATTCCAATTCATCCGACAGCGCGCGCCGTCTGCTCGAGGGACGCCGCGGTATCTAGAAGAGAGTAGCTCGCGCGAGCAAAAGCGAAACGAAAAAGAAAAAGAAACAGAAAGTCAGACGTTCGCGTCCATCTTGCGTCGTGCATTCAGTTCCGTTTGGCGTCGCTAGTAGTCGCAGTCCAGGCATATTGAAACCACGCCGTTCGTAGCAAAATATACTCTGATTTATCCCTGAATGTCGATTCAGTAATTAAAAGGGAAGTTGTATATGGTTATATATCGATAACGAGTAGACACCAGTAGCATTTAACAAATATCCGTAGTTGCTCTGAAAAAGCCTCATTTACTCGTCCGGCCTCTAGGTGGAGCTATTCCGTTTTCTGCATTCCTGAACTCTACTCTTACGCCTAAAAGAACATTCAGTCCTGGACGAAATGTTCACTGACTGAGTGAATTAGAGCAAAACAAAGCTGATTTTGTCCTGCTGTGCCTGCCGATCTTTGGTCGGTTTAAACATCTTACTTTAAATATTAATAATGTAGGATATATATCCTAATAGGGTAATCCTATACAGCATCAGGTATTGAGATTATGTACAGGAGCTATAAAAACTACACCAATTACAGCACTACAGGTTGAAATGGGGGAAATGTCACTAGAAATGAGAAGGGTACCGTTATCAGTGAATTATTGGGTTAATTTACAAGGTCGTAGTCAAGAGCATCCAACACTAGATACACTGTAAAAAAAATTCCGTAAAATTTATGGTAAATTTTTACGGTAAAAAATCTTACCGTAAAAAATACGGTAGTAACGTTTTAGGTTTTACGGGTTTAACTTACATTTACAGTTAAATACCGTAATTTCAGAAATGAGAAGGGTACAGTTATCAGTGAATTATTGGGTTAATTTACAAGGCCATAGTCAAGAGCATCCAACACTAGATACTTTAAAGCCCTGTTGGGAAAAAGAGAGGAGGAAAATTAAAAGCTTTGGATGGACAGTGATACAGAAAGCAACAGAACTTAAAGTTAATCAGTGAAATGTTACTCCAACTGTACCGCTACCTGTAATAAAACCTTGGTTACTTTCGGATGCTACAGTAGATTTGACATTGTTAGAACAGAAAAATAAGGGTAAGGAATGTAATTTGTATAATGTGCAGACATATATTAATAAGTACTACAGCTATGTTCAGATCTACACAGATGCATCAAAGAGTTTGGATAATAAGATAGGAGTAGTGTTTACTGTTCCAGAATTTCATTTATCAGTAAGGAAAAGGATCAGTGATGAGTTATCAGTTTATGCAGGGGAAATGATTGCACTATTATTAGCAATACAGTGGATAGAAGAGATAAGACCTTTGAAATCAGTTATTTGTTTAGATTCATGTTCATCATTGGCTAGTTTACAGTACAGTCACTCTGAAAGTAGACCAGACATTTTAATGGAAATAATGCAAACGTTATATAGAATTCAAATGATGGGGATTACAGTTGTATTTGTATGGGTGTCGGCGCATATTGGTATCCAAGGAAATGAAATTGCAGATAAAGAAGCAAAAGAAGCGGTTAAAACAACGACAATAACTTAATTGTTAATTTAAGTAAGAATGAAATCAAGAGTATTATTAAGAAAAGACTGAAGGTGGCAAAAACAATGGAATAAGGAGAAAAAAGGTCGGTGGTTTTACAGAATTCAAAGGAAAGTGGGAGAGATGAGAAGTGCAGGGAAAAACAGGAGAGATGAGATAGTAATATCAAGGGTGAGATTTGGACACACAAGATTAAATAGTACACTTTATAAAATGGGTAAAAATGAAACGGGAAGATGTGAATTTTGTGGACAAGAAGAAACAGTGGAACATGTTATACTGTACTGTCAGAAATACGAGACTGAAAGAAGGATTCTAGTGCAAAATTTTGAAAAAATAAAAATGCAATTTACACCGAGATATATTTGACAAAATAACTCAAAGGAATGAATGCTATAGTTTTATTTTTCAGTACCTTAAAATAACTAATTTGTGGGAGAGAATATAAAAAAAAACAAAAATAAAAAAAAGGGGGGAAGGGAGTAAGTCATTTTGATCCACACTCCATACCAGTTGGTGGCGGAAATACACCATTTTGTTGTTTGTCAACCGCCAATAAATTTCAAGAAGAAGAAGAAGGAAATATCAGTTTACATTTCCAAACACTCATTTAGCCTTTAATTGTAATAATCCAGTGAGAATTTTGTTTGCACAAGGAGTCTGACAAGAGCCAGTGCTCCACACAGAGATCTGATCTCATCACCATCCAGTCTGTCTGGAATGACATGAAGAAACAGAACAAACTGAGAGAGACTAAATCCAGAAGAACTGTGGCAACGTCTCCAAGATGCTTCAAGAGGCCTCCCTGCAAAGTTACAGTGCTGTTAAAAGTTTTAGGCACTTGTGTAAAAATGCTGTAAAATGAGGATGCTGTCAAAAATAATGTCATAAATAGATTTTCTTTATTAATTAACTTCTATTAACTAAATTAAATCAACATTTGGTGTGACCATCCTTTGCGTTTAAAGCAGCTGTTGCCAAATATGATATAACAGGCTTTTAAGGAACATTCATGTGTACATCTCTCAATCACTGGATATGTTTGCCCTCATAATGAAAACTAAAGAGGTCATAAAACTATGCATTTAAATATGATACATTAAGACATTATTCAGAGGTATAGAATGATAACTGATATTTATATGCATTTTATGTAAGTAGTCTGATATACTGTTTTATAAATCCTATTGATTTACAGTACAAGCTATCAAAATTCGGCCATACTTTCTGGTCATATAAATATCAGCAACTGCACCAAATTGCATGTTTTTGCTCATTTTGGGCCTAAAATTGAGTTTTTATTTTTGCAATATTTTATAAAGTTCAACTAACTGTTCCATTGTAAATGTGTTTATTGGTTTACTTGCACAAATATATTAAAAAGGGCAATTGTGGTTATGTCAATATGAAGAAATCGATTTCATTCATCTTTTCTCCAAAAAAGATTTTTATCTGTGTATCAAAACTTCACAAGTGCAAATACATGAAATATGAAATGAGCATGTAATACCAAATTCCACTGATCAAACAAAAAGCCACACAAACAGCATCTAACAGAAAGAACTATGCTTATCAGTAGAAATTTAAAAAATAAAACATATTGCAAATAGTTTGCAGTCTTTCCACTTTCCCAGAAAGCAGACCATTCTCTATTCGCCTAATGATACGTCACAATGAATTGTTTTCTGTTTAATTTGAAAATGGTTTGATGAATCCACTATCCATGGCTCTAGACAGGCAGGCAGGCAGCATTAATAGCATCCTGCTTCTTGGGGTTGTCCTCTAGTTTTGCCACATATGTCAGGATTTCCAGCAGTTCACATTCAATGAGCTTCTTGGCTAGTTGTTCATCAGCGTCCAGCATATTAAACACCGTCACAAGACCTCTGTGCTGAATTTCAGGGTTGTCATGGATGCACAATCTCTGTATGATCTCAAGCCACTGCCCAGTCTGTAGATGACAAAACATAATATCAATCATCTTTGGTATAAGTATCTGATAGCAACATTGTACCATGTGTACCATGGTACTGCCACAATACTTAGGAAAGCGGTAGATGACAGTTTGACAAATGAATCACATGGAACTGACAACTGTTGTTTATGATACATACCACTTAGTCATCTTAACAGCCGGTTTCTTCTGTGCAGCGGTGAGCATAGCCAGTGCACCAGCAGCTGCCCTCTGAAGCTACTCATCATCTTCACCGCAGAGCAGGACAAGAAGCTTGAGTTTACATTGCCGTCTTCCAGATATCTGTCTTGAACCTGTTGAAATGAATGAATTTGGTCAATTTTTCCATCCAAACCTACAAAAAAATGCAACATTTGGTTAGCAAAATGTGTTCTAAATGGGTATTTTATACCTCTTTGCAGCAAACCAGATTGCACATGCACTCTGTGGCAGCTTGTCTGATTTGATCGTGTTCCTCAAACATGTAGTTCTCAATATCTGGAAGAGCCTTTTCTTTTAGGATTTTCACTCTGTGGAAATAAAGATGAATACAACACCAATTCCAGAGAAGTTGGGACGTTTTGAAAAATGCAAAAATCTGTGATTTGTTAATTCTCTTTAACTTTTATTTAATTGGCAAAAAGTACAAAGAAAAGATTTCCAAAGTTTTCACTGATCAACGTAAATGTATTTTGTAAATATGAACAAATATTGTTTTTGATGGCTGCAACACATTTCAAAAAAGTTGGGACAAGATAAAAGTGAAAAGGTTATAGAATATCCACGTTAAACTGTTTTGAAACAGTTCACAGTAAGCAGGTGAATTGGTAATATGTCAAGGTATCATGTTTGGGTATAAGAGGAGCATCTCAGTCTTTGCAAGCAAAGCTGGATCATGGCTCATCACTTTGTGCCAAATTTCACGAGAGACGTGTCAAACAAATCAAAAATCACATTTCGCAATGCAAAATTGCAAAGAATTTAGGTCTTTCAACAAATACCATACATAATATTGTGAAAAGATTCAGGGAATCCAGAGAAATCACAGTATACAGTGGGTACGGAAAGTATTCAGACCCCCTTCAATTTTTCACTCTTTGTTATATTGCAGCCATTTGCTAAAATCATTTAAGTTAATTTTTTTTCCTCATTAATGTACACACAGCACCCCATATTGACAGAAAAACACAGAATTGTTGACATTTTTGCAGATTTATTAAAAAAGAAAAACTGAAATATCACATGGTCCTAAGTATTCAGACCCTTTGCTGTGACACTCATATATTTAACTCAGGTGCTGTCCATTTCTTTCTAATCATCCTTGAGATGGTTCTACACCTTCATTTGAGTCCAGCTGTGTTTGATTATACTGATTGGACTTGATTAGGAAAGCCACACACCTGTCTATATAAGACCTTACAGCTCACAGTGCATGTCAGAGCAAATGAGAATCATGAGGTCAAAGGAACTGCCTGAAGAGCTCAGAGACAGAATTGTGGCAAGGCACAGATCTGGCCAATGTGTATATGTGTATGTGTGTGTATGTATGTGTATATATATATATATATATATATATAT